CAAACCGCAAACATTTTCGCGCGTTTGTTTACGTTTGAAACGGGGCGTTTACCGTTGGAAACTGAAATGTTTCACCGCTCATGTGACGTGTCACATTGAAAAGCCTTAAGCTATTTTTGGCGCAACTGTCATGTTTTGACGTGCTTCCGTGCACGTTTCAATATTTCCAAGCCCATGATAATACGTTTTAGTCACAAAAAGTATGAATATAAACAAGTTTGGTCGCTCTTACAATATCGTGAGCTTGGAAATACTGAAAAGTACACGAAAGCACATCAAAACATGAAAAATAACTGAATTAGGCTTTTCACTATAACACGTCACATGAGCAGTGAAACATTCCGTTTCCAACGGTAAACGCCACGTTTCAAACGTAAACAAACGCGCGAAAATGTTTGCGGTTTGTGCTTGGACGAAAATTGCTGTATGTGAAAGGAAATGTGGTACAGCCAATTGCAGTTGAGCTTGCAGCTTGCATTTTAAACGCGTTGTTGCATCGTTGAAAAGTACGCGTTCATTCCTTGGAAACACGCCGTTGCTAGGGGCGTAACGTGAACTTTTGGCGGGCGTTGTAACGGCGTAAACATGTTTTTCTATTCTTGGCGTTGACGAATTAAATTAGATTTTGTCACAAAACCGACCAGGGAGTTCTAATTTGACTGCAGGCATTCTAAAAATACCTTACTGTTCCGTCGCAGACTTAAGCAGAGTTTTTACAATATTTAACTCGTTATACGTTTGTTTGCACGCCGTTCAGAAGTTCAACAATGCCCGCGAAAAGTTCACGTTACGCCCCTAGCAACGGCGTGTTTCTAAGGAATGAACGCATACTTTTCAACGATGTAACAACGCGTTTTAAATGCAAGCTGCAAGCTCAACTGCAATTGGCTGTATAATTATGCAATATATATGTAGATTAGGTATCAGGTGATACAGGCAATGTATAAAATGACCACACCTAGCAGAAATTGCACCATTTAGCGTGAATTCCGTCAGGAGACACAAATCTAACCGAAAGACAAAAATTGGGTGACCCGAACTGGACGAATTTCGTTGAGAGTCATGGCAGAGGAAGAGCAATATCTTGTCCAAGCAGCGCCACCAGCTGTTCCGCAAGGCCTTGATCACGCCGAAGTCCACAAGATCCTCCAGTAGCGCCACAACGGCAACAAATCTCGGACGATTTGGAGGTATAACTTTTATTATTATTATTATTATTCATCTTATTTAAAAACGGTAGCCCTTCAGATTAGACTGCTTTTCAAGGGGCCGTTAGAATATTTACAAATACGAAAAATCTATTGTACATACTAACTGTGTAAAAAAAAAACCCATGCAATGAACACTATATATAAATTAGAATGACTCACATATATAACTAGAAATAGTATGTTATGTTATGTTAACCCTCCCAGACCCAAAAAATTACTCCTTCGAATCAAAATCCGCCCCACAAGTGGTTGTCATACACTATTCCTCTCCAAATTGGTGAAATAGTTGTTGATTAAAGTTTTGAAGTTACTTATGGAGAGCACTTTGTAGTTGTTGGTAACATCATTTGGAAGATTGTTCCATGATGCCGCACCTCGATATGAAAACGAATTCTTCAAGAAGTCTGTTTTAGGTTTCTCCAAATAAAGTTTACAGTTATTACTTCTTAATGGGTACATATCATTTAGGCAAATTTTAAAGAAGTTGGTCATACATTCTGGCAGTTGTCCTTGTAAGGCCTTAAATGTCATTATCATTTCTCTTTTCTTAAGAGTGGTTTCAATTGGTTCCCAGTGTAAGATATTAAATATATCTTTCGATCTTACTTCGTAAGTTGACCCTGTGATAATTCTAGCCGCTCGTTTCTGCATTTTTAAAAGCTTGTCTGTATGTGTACGACTGCCGTCATTCCACACGTTGGAGCAATAGGTAAAATGAGGTAAGACTAGTGAGTTGTACATGTTAATTAAGACGTTTTGGTTGACAAATCGTTTGGCTCGTCTTAATAAGGCAATGCTCTTGGATAGTTTTTTTGCATTGAAGATCATTGTGTTTATGCCATCTCAGTTCATCGTCTAACGTAATTCCCAGTACTTTTTTATTGGTTACCTGTTTGATGTTATGATTACCAATCAGTATACATGGGTCATAAGAGAATTGTTTCAATTTTCGTTTAGAGGCTATTAGCATAAATTCAGTTTTTTTTAAGTTTAAAGTAAGCTTGTTTGCTATTAACCAGTTATTGACGTTATACAAGTGATTGTTTAGTTTCACTTCTATGTCCACAAGTGAATTACCAATGCTTGATATATTTGTGTCATCTGCAAACATAGATGCATCTGTTTGTTCGAGACAGTTAGGAAGATCGTTTATATACAATGAGAATAATAACGGTCCTAAGTTTGATCCGTGTGGGACTCCGCACCTTATCTTTTTCAGTTGGGAATTTATACCTTGGACTGTACATAATTGACTCCTGTTGGTTAAGTACGATTTGAAGAAGTTAAGGGCTACACCTTGAACTCCATATAGTTCGAGTTTAGCAAGAAGGATTTTGTGGTCGACTGTATCGAATGCCTTTTTGAGATCAAGAAACAAGACACCGTTTATTACACCCGTTTTCAAAATTACGCGACCTCCCTGAAAAATACTCTTACTTCAAATGTCAGTTTTATGTCACAAAACTGCTAAAAATAGCAAACGTAAACAAACTGTCAAGAGACATTTAAACCGTATTTAATACCAAAACTGAACAAAAATGAGTTAGATAACTTAGATATATAGACTAAAGCACAATACAAACCATCACAACAGAAATATGTGCCGTGAATAACTTTTAAAGTTTGAAAATATCAGTATAAAACACGCGCGCTAGACTATAACGGTGCATGATGTTAGAATTTTGTTTGTGCCTAAATTTTGCAATAATTCTCACTAAAATATCTTGAAAATCATTGTAAGCCTGTTTATATAAAGCATACAAAGCATATGCATCGACAAGGAACCGCAAAACTCAAAGTTTAAACTTCGTGACCGAATGACACAAAACTGACATGTCAACTCTAGCATTTTCGTCCTTGGTCGCGTAATTTTGAAAACGGGTGTAAGCCTCTATCCATATTCATTAAATATTCATTGGTTGTTTGCAAGAGAGCAGTTTCAGTAGAGTGATATTTGCGGAAGTCAGATTGGCGTTTTGTGATTATTTTGTTGTCATTCAGAAAATTGAGGAGTTGGTTATAAACTATTTTCTCTAACATTTTTGAAATTGCCGGTATGACAGATATAGGTCTGTAATTTCCGCATTCATTTTTGTCACCTTCCTTATAGATAGGCGTAACCTTAGCCTGTTTTAAGTCGTCTGGAAGTACACCAACGTCTAGGATCAAGTTAAAAATATAAAGCAAGGTTTCACATATGGTATAGCCTGCAGCCTTTAACAGTTTGTTTGTGATTTTGTCGAGTCCTGCAGCTTTCCCTAATTTAATATCATCTAGTATTCTGCATAATTCTGCTGGTGAGATTTGTCTAAACGTAAACTTGTTAGAATTAGCAGTAATATATTGAAGTGGGTCTACATTACTTGGTGGTATAGTTTGTGCAAGCTTAGGGCCAATTTCACAAAAATAATTGTTAAACTCGTTTGCTATATTATCGTTACCAGTAATTGTTTGTCCATTAACTGTGATCTGGTTGATTGTTGTTGTAGTCGTTCTCCTGTTGAGTAAATGATTAATAAATCTCCAGCTATCTTTACTATTTTTGCATTGTTCCAGATTTGTTTTATAATAGTGTTCTTTTGCATCCCTAATAAGTTTGGTAACTTGGTTTTTGCATCTTTTATAAGCCTCGGTATAAGCAGCAGAATTTAGTCTCACTGCCTTTTTTTTAAGGTAATCTCGATGATAGCTAAGTTTTTTAATTTCATTGTTCAACCATGGGCAATGCTCGATTCTAACTTTTCTAGTACGATAGGGAGCATGGTTGTCAGAAATAGACAGAAATATGTCCTTCCACTCCTGCCAGGCAAGATTTGGATCAGAGTTGTATGTAAAGTAGTTAAACGATTGTGCTAAGTCTTGTTGGAATTCGTTTTCGTTAAAATGTTTAAACTGTCTTGTTTCTACTATTTTCGGCTTTTTCTGGGTACTCCTATTTTCCTACAAATATACACCAGATCATGGTCACTTATTCCCAAAGCAATCACTCCTGAATCAGATGTTTTGGTGTCGTCACTTTTTGTAATTATAATGTCTATTAGTGTTTTTGTCGAGTCAGTTGTTCGGGTTGGCTTATCAATGTGTTGCTGTAGTTGGTAGATATCTAGTAGGTCATCCAATCGTTTCGGAGTTGTTATTCCTATAGTTGCTGTCCAGCATATCACAGTTAAAATCACCTGTTATGATTATTTCTTTGTTTTCATTGTCAATCACTTTTATGAAATTTTCAAAATCATTAAAGAATTCCATATTAGAACCTGGTGGACGATACCAAGTACTAATTAGAACTGGCTTAGCTTTCAGTTTTTTAACTTCAAGACAAATTGCCTCTGCATTAACTGGAATTAAGTCAGCTCTATTAGTATAGGGAATAACATCCCTTAGGTAGATAGCCACTCCTCCTCCATTGCGGTTTCTATCCTTTCTTATCAAATCGTAACCTGGTAATTTAACCTCAGAGTTGTCTATGGAGTCGTCAAGTCGAGTTTCATTGATACAAATTATATCAAAAGGGAGTTTAGCCAGAAATACCAATAATTCGTTTTTATGCTTTACCAAACTTGCAATATTTAAATGCCCTATTTTGAATCCCTTGAGTTTTGGGTAAACCTTTTCATATTGGTCCGTGGTCGGAGTAATTGGGTCTAGAGGGTTCACATTTTCATTATCGTTAGTCTTAGTATCATCCCCGTCATCATGATCATCATTATCATTGTCGAGTCTACTTTGATCGAATGATGACGAGGATGCTACAGTATTTTCTACTTTGGAATAATAAGAAGTATCTAGTCAATTGATATTCTTTAAGTAATTCTTTATGTTTTTTGCCAAGGAGGCTGAGCCCTTTGTGTTCAAATGCAGACCATAGCTATTTAGCTGGTATTTATCAATGTTACTATTGTCTATTAGACCCCAGTTTTGCTCGGTACATAAATCATTAAGTAGTTTATTACATTTTGTTACCTTTGTAGCCAGAGATGGATCATCATTCCGAGTGATGATTGATGAAAGGATCAAATCAATTTTGTTTTGCTGGTTCCTGATTCCTTTACCAAGGTTACAGATGGATTGCACCACTTTTTCTGGTGAGTTGTTCTTGATGTCGTTGGTACCCACATGTAGTATAACAACATCCGGCTTTGCCATTAATGCCGGTTTGACGTAATGGGCCATATCAGCAGCTGTAGCACCAGGGAATGTCTTTAACTTGATACTGTAGCTTAGGCCGTTTTGCAATCGCTTTTTATTCATGTGTTTGATCATCGAGTCTCCGAGAATAGCAACAGTTTGTTTGTGCTTGTCATATTTTGTTGATCTAGGAGTATTTTGTGCTCGATTTGGATTCCGCTCGTTATATCTTGTTGCTGTAGTCAAATTTTGTGTTCGTTTTGTATTTTCACTTTGTATTCGTTATAATGTAATTGTAATCGTGCTCGCTTGCACGTGCATGAGCGCCTTGTACGCGTTTTAGTTGTGCATTGCTCCGGCTGTTAGGATGGTTAATCAAGGCGGGTTATAGTATTGCTTGTCAAATATGAGTTAGTCCAGATTTTAGTAGAGTGTCTGCTGTAAAATAAGTGTCTTGAGGTAGGATATGGCGCCTTGTGCCATATCTTTTGCCATCTTTTCACCCATTGTTCAATAACAGTGTAGGCGTAATAATTCATACTAATGAGTAATGGCCCGCTTGTAGGCGGCAATGCTAGTTCGAATGCTGTTATTTATCGTTGAAATGAATAACTGATTATTGATCTCGGGCATATATGTGTATCGACGAATTCGATAATCTAATATGGGAAGTTTGAACTGGTGTAACCATTCGTTTATTGATGAAAGTGGTTTTATCTACAGCGCCCCGTGATAAATATGTCGTGGGAAGGCTTGAGCTCAATGAAATGATTAAACCAGTGCCCCGTGGAATGCTTGATAATACGGGAAGCTTGAACGGGTGTGACTGATCGTTTATTCCGTTATATGACAGTGGTTTTCTCTACAGCGCCCCGTGATAAATATGTCGTGGGAAGGCTTGAGCTGTATGAAATGATTCAACCAGTGCCCTGTGGAATGCTTGATAATACGGGAAGCTTGAACTGGTGTGACTGATCGTTTATTCAGTTATATGAAAGTGGTTTTATCTACAGCGCCCCGTGATAAATATGTCGTGGGAAGGCTTGAGCTGTAGGAAATGATTCAACCAGTACCCCGTGGAATGCTTGATAATACGGGAAGCTTGAACTGGTGTGACTGATCGTTTATTCAGTTATATGAAAAGGGTTTTATCTACAGCGCCCCGTGATAAATATGTCGTGGGATGGCCTGAGCTGTAGGAAATGATTCAACCAGTGCCCTGTGGAATGCTTGATAATACGGGAAGCTTGAACTGGTGTGACTGCATGATCGTTTATTCAGTTATATGAAAGTGGTTTTATCTACAGCGCCCCGTGATAAATATGTCGTGGGAAGGCTTGAGCTGTAGGAAATGATTCAACCAGTGCCCCGTGGAATGCTTGATAATACGGGAAGCTTGAACTGGTGTGACTGATCGTTTATTCAGTTATATGAAAGTGGCTTTATCTACAGCGCCCCGTGATAAATATGTCGTGGGATGGCTTGAGCTGTAGGAAATGATTCAACCAGTGCCCTGTGGAATGCTTGATAATACGGGAAGCTTGAACTGGTGTGACTGATCGTTTATTCAGTTATATGAAAGTGGTTTTATCTACAGCGCCTTGTGGAAAATATGTCGTGGGAAGGCTTGAACTGTATGAAATGATTAAACCAGTGCCCCGTAGAATGCTTGATAATACGGGAAGCTTGAACTGGTGTGACTGATCGTTTATTCAGTTCTATGAAAGTGGTTTTATCTACAGTGCCCCGTGGTCAATATATCGTGGGAAGGCTTGAGCTGTGTGAAATGACTAGATTATTTGTTTGCGACATATGTAACTTGTGCCCTGTAGAATAGCTGATCAATATCCGGGACGCTTGCACTAGTGTAATTGTTCGTCAGTTTTCGTTATGAAACTGGCCTTGTTTGCAGTGCTCCATGACCAATCTGTCGCGGGAAGGCTTGCGCTGTTTGAAATGACTATCTTTGTTTGGTTTATGTTTAACCAGTGCACCGTAGTATGCTAGGATAGCATGGTTGATCATGCGGGAAGCTGTAACTGGTGCGAATGCTCGTTTATTTAATGACTGCATGCAATGGCGTTATATAGCCCCCAGTGATAAACATGTCGCGGAACGTTGGCATGTGTGTAATTAGTGTTCTGGAGTGATGGATTTGATAATACAAGAGTTTTGTATAGGTCTGTTCTATGTTGACAGGCTGTCGTTTGAATTGAGGATCTTTGTTATTCAAATATTTTAATCAACAATACTCCTGAGTTTACTCATTCATGCATTTATGTGTTGCGCTATTTGAATGAATTTTCTAAGATTCTCTGGTCAAATTCGAACATAGTATATTGTACTGGGTTCCAACACGATGCATACCATTTTGTGGTTCATGAGTTATAAACTATGATTAAATTTCGCCAAGATCTAGAGTAGATCGGATATTTTCCCACAAGTCTTCATCTGTGACTAAGGTTGAGATACATCAGATACTCTGTTATTTCCACGATTGACGATGGGATGTGTATGAGATCTTTATACATATATATACTGTTGATCAGTATGTGCATGTTCTTTTCCCTTACACCTGTCGCGCTCAATCTGAGGACATCGAACACTCAATAGACTTGCTCACCAATGCGTGCGGGTCATCTTTACTTTACACCGTATGACCCTGGTGTTGTGTTCGTTCTTAGCACTGCTCAGTTAGCAGTTAATCAATATAAAGTGGTGGATCTGGTCGAGGCAGTTTGCAGAACGCTTCGCACGATACTTAACATGACCAGGGCAATTCTTTCCGTTTGGTCGAAATATTTCGCACGGACATCGAGCTAATTTTTACAATATGTATGTGCATGTGCGTTATTTTGGTGTGATATTTTTCAATGAATGATGTCCTTACGATACTCTGAGCGCGAGCATTGTTGTGGTAGTGATCCTTTTCACATGTATCATTTACATGGGTATGTCGACTTACGAGATTCATCCGATTATTAATGCTGTCTTTGTTTATTGTTTTGGTATTTTTCGACTTGTTTTGCCATCCAATCACCTCATGGAGAGTGACGGTCCTGCAAACGGAAGTTCCTTCATACATTATGTATGGCTTCCCCCGGTTGATTTACTGGGTCAGGACGGTCGCCCCTCTACTGACGGTGTTTTGGTTGTTCTCCTCGTCTATGCTCACGTTAACAATTTACCATGGGAGTAGGCTTTCGAGTTTGATGTTCTACAGGTTGTCGAAGCAGCTCCCCATGGCCAGAGACGGCTATATGGGTCAATTCTACTTCGTCATTGGTTAGTTCGCTACGGAGTCACGTGTGAGATAGCGCGGGAAGGATCGAGCGGCAGTTGCAAAGGATTCTTCGAGCGAACGTCAACAACAAAAAATTTCCGCTTAAAACTGAATAAAAATGGCAGAAGACACTCCGGATATGGAGAAAGAACTACTTATAGAAGAAGAACAACATCAGAGTGACGAGGACCTGTCTACGAACGAACGATTTATGGAATTGTTATCCAAAATGAATGATAATATTTGTGCACTAGGCGTATCGCTAAATAAACGAAAACATGAGAGCTTTGTCTCTGATCAACCAAGCACAAACACGGCAGTATCTGCCAAAAAAGCTAAAATTCGCTCACTGTCTGAGTCTGTATCAGACAACGAATCGGAAGCATTGCTGGGAGACGCGGAGCAGGGACGACATCACAATGCCAATGGCAATGATGAGAACAATTCGAACGAGGACGAACAACAAACCGCCAACATGGCGGACGTAGACGATCCCTTGCTGGACGAAATAGCGCAGTCACTTGACGAAACTGAGCGAACGGGCGACCCCGTCTCAGATAAACTCGCACTGATTGCTAACAAACGCTGGAATCATAAATTAAGTGACGACCAGCTAAAAGAAAAGGCCGAAAAATACCCGCGACCAGCGAACTGCGACAAAGTTGTGAGCCCACGCGTAAACCCTGAAATATGGGCTAAATTAACAAGGGCTGTTCGTGGCGAGGATCACAAGCTCTTTCGTGTACAAACCCAGCTTGGCACAGTCACTAACCTTGTAGTGCAAGCTACAGATATGCTGTTGAAAGCAAAATCTGACCCAAAAAGTCTAAAAATTGATGACCTAGTGCGAATGAACACAGATGCTGTTGCTCTGGTTAGTCATGCTAGCCATGAGCTAGCCCAAAGAAGGCGCGAAATCATTAGACCTCACCTTCACAGGGATTATATTGAGCTATGCTCACAAGAAGTTCCTGTGACAAGCTTACTGTTTGGAGACGACCTCCAGACAGAATTGACCCGTATTCGGGCAACAAACAAAATTGGAAATACAACAAATCCATCATCACACGCGCCGAGTCAACACCGGATTTATAAGCCAAGTACGAGCAATTATGGCAACAAACAGCCTCCTTTTTTATGGCGAGGAGCCCAGTCGTACAGACGACTGGAGAACAACAACAGGCGTGGTCAGAACCGAGCTCGTTTCGGGCCAATGAAGAAATAGACTCAGAAGCAATTAAAAAACTTTCACAAATACAGGTAAGCGAATACGAGTCTCTCGTGCCATCGCTTATTAAACACTTTGAACACAAGGTTGCCAATTTTAAGGCGGGCCAGCTTAGTACTTCTTATTTTGCTTGGAAAGAATTGACATCTGATCCAGAAATTCTGGAGACAGTGTCTGGTCAACGCATAGAGTTTAACCAGAACCCAGTACAATTAAATTTACCTGTATAGCCAAATTACTCATGTCAACAAGGACAGTTTATTGATTCTGAAATCCAAAACTTGTTGAAAAAAGGTGTCATTGTAGAATCTACACATGAGCCTAATGAATACATTTCACCCATATTCCTTCGACCTAAGAAGGATGGATCACATCGCATGATTTTAAACCTAAAATGTTTAAACCAATCTGTTACGTACCAACATTTTAAAATGGACACAATCTGGACTGCTATACGTATGATGCGTCTGGGATGCTTTATGGCATCCATTGATCTTAAGGACGCATACTGCTCTGTCCCGATTCACAAAGACCATCAAAAACACCCGAAATTTCAATGGCGAGGGAAACTATATCAGTATACATGTTTTCCAAAATGGATTGGCAATTTGC